TTAATAAGGTTGAAGTTGGAATCCTCTTTCGCGACGCAGCGAATATTTCCGCGTTTGATTTCGTTTGAAAGTGAAACGCAGATATGCGTGAGAGACGGCATTGTAGGTAATAATCGCGGAGAAAGAATTATTGCCGTGGGGCAAAAAAAAAAAAAAAAAAGGAATTTCGGATCGGTGGAAGTTTCGAGAGCGATGCGGGCTGAAAATGGACAGAAGGAAAGTGTACCACGCTGGTGGCTAAGCGGATGAACTCGAACGAAAACTTTTTTCCGCCGTGGAAAAAAATGAACGACTCTGCCGGGTTTCCGCGAGGCTGGAAATTTAAAAAAACCAAGGAAGGATGCAACCGCGGGAAACGAAAGTAGAAAGATGGGTATTAAGCGAGCTGAAAGAGAGAGAAAGAGAGAGAGAGAAGACTGCGTAAAAGAAGCAACTTTCTCTGGCTCTCTTTTCGGCTATTCATGTACTTCCGATTCGGTGAAAATTCGCCGGATCGAGGCAAAGTTAAATGGAAAATGGAGAGAGAGAGAGAGAGTATAAAGGTTTAATCCGAAAAAGCACGGTCTGAATAAGAGATAAATAAAAAGGCCGTCACCGTGTACACGAAGATCGTCGCAAATGGTGATCTTCATTAAGCTCTCGTCAGAGATGAAGGACAATCGGAGATTTCCTGACGATGATCCGTAAAGACAAATGAAAAGACATCTAGGTATACGAAAGGAGATTGTAAATAAACAAAAATTCTCCGCGATCAAAGAAAAATTTCAAAGAAAGGGAGGATCGAAGATTTCCTGACATTTTGTGGAAACGAATGAAAAGGTATCTGGATGTAAAAAAGAATAAAGAAATTCTCTGTGATCCCTCTTGTTAAACTTTCTTTAACTCTCCTGTTATTATTAAAATATAGTTTTTGAACATTTTTTTATAAATAAAAAAATAAATATCCTTTATAATATAAAGAAAATATTATATATAAAATAAATATTATATAAAATAAATATTTAATACTTTTTATAAATATCTCTAATATTTTTTATAGATAAATAAATAAATTAATTGTAAGTAAATAAAAAAAGAAACAGCAAAAAGATGAAAGATATTTGAGAAAGTGACGAGGACAGAAGAATTAACCACTTGCGCTGGCAACTGGATTGCGGACCATAACGAGCGACCAGATCGTATACAATAATTCGCCGCTTTCTTTTTGAACTCGTCGGTATGACAGAAATTATTGAGAGTAAATATACTTAAGACTGAGGAAATATTACAATTTTGGAACAAAGAATTCTCGACGTTGCGCGGCACGTCGTTCCAGCGCAAGAGGTTAAAAAAAAAAAAAACAGAGAGTTGAATAATTTTCATAATTTGTGAGAACATATGAAAAGGCAATTATAACATAGAGAAAGTGATTGTAAAAGTTGATTGCATATGGAAAATTATCCGCGATATCTAAGAAAGATAAAATTCATAAGGAATATTAGCGAAGTAAAATATGAAGCTCTTGAAGGGGAGGAGAAATTTTCCTTGAGCACAGCGTTAATTGCTGGGTTTCCAGAGAGCCAATCGATATCGGAACGATTGAATCGATTTTATGGCCGTTGCCCGCCAAAGGATGAACCCGCTCTGAGCAGCCTCTCGATTAAACGTTTTCGAACTTAACGATTCGTTTGAACGAGGAGGAAGCTGCGATTGGCCGTAATATTTCCATTTCTTTCCCCCTATCGTTATTAAAAATCATAAATATTCGAGCGAAGTGAAATTTTATTCAGTTTTAAAGAAATTAAGGTCGTGCTCGGCGGTATTAGCTTTTAGAAATGATCTGAAAAAAGAAATTGATATTCCAAGACTGTTCAAGGGTATATATCGAGATAATTTTGCGATTGAATCGGAATCATTAGAGAGAATATTATTACGTGCATCAGAGTCATTCTAGAAATACTTCAATCACATTGGAACGTCGTGAAACATTTAAACAATGAAACTTGTTAAATACTTTCTTTATTATTATTATTTTACATACTTTTTTATTATTATGTACATTAGAGTCATTCTAGAGATACTTCAATCATATTGAATCGTCGTGAAACATTTAAACAATGACACTTGTTAAATACTTTTTTTATTATTATTATTTTATATACTTTTTTATTATTATGTACATCAGAGTCATTCTAGAGATACTTCAATCACATTGGAACGTCGTGAAACATTTAAACAATGAAACTTGTTAAATACTTTCTTAATTATTATTATTTTACACACTTTTTTATTATTATGTACATCAGAGTCATTCTAGAGATACTTCAATCACATTGAATCGTCGTGAAACATTTAAACAATGAAACTTGTTAAATACTTTCTTTATTATTATTATTTCACACACTTTTTTATTATTATGTACATCAGAGTCATTCTAGAGATACTTCAATCACATTGAATCGTCGTGAAACATTTAAACAATGAAACTTGTTAAATACTTTCTTTATTATTATTATTTCACACACTTTTTTATTATTATGTACATCAGAGTCATTCTAGAGATACTTCAATCACATTGAATCGTCGTGAAACATTTAAACAATGAAACTTGTTAAATACATGCTTTTTTTATTGCTCGTCGAAAGATATATTTCCACCCTCCTGCTTTCTCAACAAACATACGTAAAATAAAACGAAACAAGATAATTAACACGCGTGTAGTGAAAAATAAAATACACAGAACGTGAGACAAACACTAATGGATTGAAATTCAACATAACGCAAAACCACGTGAGAAACTAGAAGAATCGAGAGAACGTATAGCCGATTACTGTTCGCGCGAGCATCTGGGCCTTGGCCGTGGAACGATTACGGCAATTAAAGTGTTTCTGAGTGAAAGACAGTGGAAAGATGGGACGAGCAACGAACGTGGTAAGAAAAGAGAAGAAAAAAAAAGACGAAGAAACCAACTTTTCTGGGAGGGGTGGAGGGGAACGATCATTAGAGTAATTGCTGCCTCGTCACGAAGCAGGTCAACAGTTTTTCCTCCTCCTGGGGCTGCTTCACGCGTCGCCGAAATTCCGCCGTGACGGATGGCACGCCGATGAAAACCGCGAATGTCGCCAACGTCTTCAAGATGGTGGAGTGAGCCGAGCGACTCGTTTCGTTGCCGGACTTTTCAAGCTCGTTGCCACGCAATTAGTTATTATGGACAATTGGCCGCGCTGAATTAGGAAGGAAACGCACGGAACGACCAGTGAAGTGGAAAAAATTAACAGAATTTGGAGGGAGTAGTATGAAAAGAGGTTGTAACGGAAGAACCTGCACTCGAAACTTTTGTCTCGTTAGTAATAACTTGGCGTGCTATCGGCTACGTTGAACCGGAATGGAAATGTAGAGAATTACGTTAAAAATGTGGATTTAGGGCAATTTGGAAGTAGGGAAAGGAAGAATCTGTACTTGAAACTTTTGTCTCGTTTGCTAATAGCTCGGGTGAACGAGGGTGGAAATGTTGAGGATTATTTTAGACGTAAGAATTTAGGACAATTTGGAAGTGGTGGCGAGGAAAGGGTTGTACTTGAAATGTTACGAATAACTTCGTGTATGCTGACATAGGCTATGTTAACTGAAGGAGGAAATATAGATACATAGATTTTAGAAATAAGATATTTAGAACAATTTAGAGATTTATGGAAAGAAAAGGGATCCTAATGGAGACATTTGTGCTTGAAATTTTCGTTTCATTGCCATCGTACTTATGTTTATGAATTCTTTAATCTTGCGTGCTGCAGAATGTTGTTCTAATAATAATAATTCTAAAAACTAATAATTTTTAGGAAATAACCAACTAATGTTTAAAAAAAATACAACAACATACATGAATATAAATTATGTGACATTGCAGAAAATTAAATTTAAACATTGAACGACGTGGTGAGATATGAAATGGGGAGGAATGTAATTTCAATGTATCTGCATATTGAGTGACAATACGAAATGTTTTTAAATATTAATCCACTCGCGAGAACGTCACAATGAACATTCGCATTCCTCGATTCTTCGTTCTCCTATTTAGAGCATTCCACAAATGTCCTTTGATCCGATGAACGACAAACATACCGAATTTAATTAGGAGACGATGTTCAAACACACGATACGCGGCACCAATATGTGCGTATATGTGTGTGTGAGTCGCTTCTGATGGAAGCAACCTCGAAATAATTGTGCAGTCCACGAGGTTAATTAACCCTGAGCCAGAAGATTTGCCAATTTACGTTGCGCCAGTTCACTCGCAAATACGCCAAAATACTTGAAAATCTCGCGTAGGAAAACAAGCACTTGCCTCAATGTTCAAACTTCCAGCATTCGGAGATTTTTCGAATCGAAAGACGTGTAGCGAACGTTATGCAAAAGCACACTCTCAGTGCACAAAATTACACAAGGTTTTGACGATGACTGGGAAAAATATGTGAGAAACTGAATAATATATTGTACAATAATGTTTCTTTCCTTGAATCTCGAACGAGTATAAATTATTTTATTTCTCTATACTTCAGTACTATAGTACACATGTATCAAGGATCCTTAAATTTCTCAATGCAAGTTTCACTGGCAGAGGAAAAAGGCTTCGCTAAAACGTTCGGTTTTGAGATGTTCGTCTTTGTCGGATCGGAGGAGATACCAAACGTTCTTAACAAGACACCATTCGTCCAATTAGCAGATTCGAACGTAAGAAATCGCTTAATTAGGCTAGCCAGTGTTGAACATCTCTGACGGACAGACGATGTCGCTTTTACTGAAATTGGAGAGAGACCCACGACCGACGGTCAAGGAAAGACGATTCCGAGCTTCTCCTCGCCGACGATGAAATTGTTTTCTCCTTTTTTTTCTCACCCCGGGTTTTTCTTCCCTTGACGTTATCCGTCTCGCAATCAGAAACTTATTGGATTACTTTTTCGCCCTTTTTTCTCTGTTCCTGTTTCGCCGCCATTGTTCTCGCGAGTCTACTCGTTTCCTTCCCGCGTGTCTCTTCCGCTTTCCATTCGCTTAATTTCACCCCAAGACTCGAAACGTTCTTCACCGTTACTAATTATCCGAGTTGGAAGACAGAGAAAGAGAGAGGGCAGAAAAAAAAAGGAGAAAACCGAAAGACAGCTAACGAAGGAGAATCGGAATGGAATGAGAGATATCTGGCTGGACGGTTAGTGTTACTTCCACTTCCGGCCCAGTGAGTCAGATCTCTTGACTCAGTGGGCGCGAATTAAAATTTGCGAGTCGTAGCTGAAGATATCCTCGCTGAAAGGGAGAAACGTGGAAAGCGAAAGACAAAAGGACACCGGTGACGAGAGAACGCGGAAGACGCACGTAAAACGTCGACAGTGGTGTTGACTTAGTCGTCGGAATCGAACGAGGAATCGTTAAAAGTTGTGGGAAATTGTTTCTTGCGAGCAACGAGCGAGTTCAAAATACGTGGCGAACTTCGTAACGAGTGCCTTCGAGTAACGAAATCACGGCTCGCGGCGTGGATTCTTAGAAACTTTTGTTGCTATTAATTAAAATGCGAGAATCACCGGTTTTGTACAATTACTTGTACTTGTAGTTTAAAGAGCATTCCTTAAATACGACTGAGTAATTTTTTTAATGGAATTCTTTGTTACAAAAAATATATAAAATAATTACATAATATTAATGGAATAATTTTTTAATGAAATAGATGTCTAACACATAGAATAGAATAGTTAGATAGTATAAAACAGAGTAATTTTTCAACATGAGAAATTTAGTATAATAATAAATTTAAATAATAAACTTAATATAATAATCTGTTATTATTATTATACGTAGATATCTAACAGATAGAACAGAATAGTTAGATAGTATAAAACAGAGTAATTTTTTAACATAAGAAATTTAATATAATAATAAATTTAAATAATAAATTTAACATAATAAAAAGTTATTATTATTATATGTAGATATCTAATAGATAGAACAGAATAGTTAGATAGTATAAAACAGAGTAATTTTTTAACATAAGAAATTTAATATAATAATAAATTATTATTATTATATATATTAATATATAACAATTTTAATATAATAATAAATTTAAATAAATATTACAAATAAATATACATTAATAAATATACATTAGTATATAATAAATTTAATATAATAATACAGTAAATTCAAACGCTCACAATGACGCGAGTTTAAGATTGTATGTGGAGCTTCAGAGATCCTTAGAAACTTTTATTGTCCATTAATTGAAATACGAGCATCACTCTCGTTTGGAAATGGCAGTGACATTTACTTGTATTTCTATTTTAAAGGGCATTCTTCAAACAGCATAATACAGTAGTATTTCAAAGAGCACGATATACGACAAAGTGATTTTTTTTTAACAGAACAGATAGAATGAAGTAATCTTTTAAATTTCACAACAACAACAACACACTAAATTTGAATTACACTTACGATGACGCGTGTTTGAACGAACAGAGCGCAAGAAACCTCGAACGAATCGTTCGCTGATGAATACCGGCAGCAAGACAAGACGCGACATTTTGAAATAGTTACAATTCAATTAGTGAGATGCATTTTACATGAGTATGCGCGTACGTTTAATAAACTTTGCATGCTTAGGAACCGTCGTTGCGAGGACAAATGTTTGTAGGAAAAACACGTGCGACCTGTTCGATTGGGCTTCAAATATTCGACTGAAGGAATGGTTCTCCCACGAACCGCGCAAATTAACCACTGTGTATTCACGAAAGTTATTTCGTTTGTATTCCGACTTCCTGATCTCGTGCAAATAGAATAACACGTGTATTATTGTGTTGGTTGGCAGAGTATACGAGATGAAAGCTTGTAAACAGATGGAGAAAGTAGAACTTTTTCACAGAATTCCGAAAGGTCGATAATGATGATCATCAGAGACATTATTCTAAAAATAATTTCGTATTTGCATCGTTTTTCAAGTGAAATATTTCTACATTGAACGTATCAGGGATTATTCTAGGAATAAGTTAAAAAGATTAAATTGTTGAATTGATTTTTTGTTGTTGATTATTCTAGGAACAAGTTAAAAAGATTAAATTGTTGAATTTTTTTTTTTAAAGGGATTAGAAAATTCGATGTGCACTGAATGAGGAATAATTTTGCATTTGTATTTCTTTTTTTTTTTTTTTAATGAAATATTTTTATATCGAATATATTAAGTTAGAAATTGAATTGATTTTTCAGAAGACAGGGATTAGAAAATTTAACGTGTACTAAATGAAGATATCCAGAAAATAATTATTTATAATTTATACGTAATTATATTTATATTAAAATTTATATTAAAATAATTATATTTCTAGTTATTTATAATTTCACATTATAATTATAACATAGTTATTATAGTTATTATAATTTCATATTTGTGTCTTTTTTCAAATATTTTCACACTGAGCGTGTTAAATCGGAAATTAGGTTGAAAATTGAATTTAGATTGGATTCGTCTCTTTTAGAATGGCAGAGATTAGGAAATTTGATGTGTACCAAAGTTTTATGTTTTTAAAAGTGAGTTTTGCGGCTGATCCGATGCTATTTTTACTTCTTCTTAAATTCTATTCTGGCGAGATTAATTAAAACACGTTTAGAACATCTGAAAGAACAAACGAACAAATTAAGAACCGTTCATCCAAGACTGAACACGATCAGTGATATTATTCATTGTATAATCTCATCCATGATGTCATACAAATTTAGTGCCCCGACTATTATAGAGAAATAGAGACTGTCTTCTCTTCCCCATCTTCCATCTAGAATTTAGATATAAGAAGTATAGCTCGACTCTACTTTCCCCCCTTTTCTCTCTACCATAAAAATAGTACATCCAACAACGAAAGCACGTTGCAACGTTTCGAGTCTGATGGTGGTACCTAAATTGAAGAGAAAAGAACCAATTATCATATACTTCCAAATTATTTATATTTTAGAATTGTTGCAATTTTTTGGAATTCCGAATTATTCAAATCTCTGAAATTAATTTAGAAAATCATCGTACATATTTTAAATATATACAATATTCTGATATTTAAATTCTTAACGCGATGTGATCAATTTTTTTACTTATAAATTCTTACAATTTTTCTAAAATTCTAACACCTCAATCGTCAATGTTTCTATAAGTTTTTTGTTAAATTTCAGTATACTAAAAATAACTAAATAATTAAATTTATATAATTACTAAATAATTGAATTTTTATAAAATTATATGATACTAAATAATTAAATTTAATATACTAAAAAAAATTACTAAATGATTGATTTTCGATATTATTAATCGAAGCCTGTAGAAGTGAACGGCTGGCTAGGTGAGTCGTTCCAAAATTTCATTGACATTGCACTTGAGTTCATCAGCATCTCGATAGCCGTGCCCGGTATTATCCGTTTATTGACCATCAATTAATCAGCTGGCTAATTGAAAGTTTGATTGGCCAGGCCAGCTACAGCACTACAACAGCGTCGGTGTATTATTCCAAGTTGGTTCGATCTGCTGCCGGAAATCTCGGCGATTAGTGAGTCGAAATGGATTTCACCCATTCGAAAAGATTAATCGTCGTGATTAGTTCGAAATTAGTTATTCGCGTCCTGTCTTTTCTTCGATGTTTACGCACGCTGTCCGACTCGAAACTTGTAAAACGTATGTACGGTAAAACAATTGTGTTACAAACGGGGACAATGACTTCACGCGAAGATAAGCCGAGATGTGATTGATGAAATTTTAGAAAAGAAAATTCAAGAAATCGCCGTCGAATTGCAATTATTCGTACACCGATTTAAAACTGTTCTCTATTTTGTTGTTTACAAGTGTAAGAGTAGAGTAATTAATAATAGAGCTAAAGTATGAAAGTATAAAAATCGTATCAGAAAAATTAGACCGCGAAAAGAAGAAAAGGGAAACATTCCCTGGAATGTATCGAAGAGCGCAAACTTTTATTTATTTATGCGTTTAAATCTATGAAAACGCAATAGTTTAAATGACTGTTCTAAAAAATTATCGACTAGTCATTTTGATTACTTTAGTAATTAATTCTGGTGTTAAACTAAACAGTTTTGAAAGGAATAATCCTGATGTATTACAAACATTTGATAACAAAGTTTTCCATTCGAGTTTAATTTAATGCTTCTCGATGAAGCTAGCTTGAGCTGAAACTTAATTACGTATACTTCAACAACGTCTGAACTACGTTTCAAAATTTATTATTTACAAGCGTCTAAAGCACCTAGGAAATTTAGCCGATTATTCTAGATGGTTTAACTAAAATTGTCGATCGAATGGAATTAAAACCAATTACGGAAATTAACGTAATTTCGAGCGTTTTGTCGACGATCCTGAAAGAAGATTTCAATGAAATTAAATTAAGTCTGACTTTTATTCGTCGAATTTATTCAGATCCTGCTCTGGAAAAAAAATCCAAGCCTCGTATTTTCGTCTTATTTTCCGTGAATTATGTACAGGATGTTTCACAAACATCGAGTGTCTTGAATATCTTACGTGCGTTTTTGAATGATCATAGAAATTGTCTCGAGATATGAAGGTCAACGATATTTTTCTTAAATAAATTCACCATATTCAATCATCGTTGAAATAATCGAGAATAGAATCAATGATTATCCAATGATCTGTGACATCTGTGATGCAGTAGCATGAAGAATATAAAACAATATTTTTGTTTCTAGCCAAACAATAAAGAAAGTTTAATACATTCACAGTTCTTTCCAAAAGAACTAATCTTACAACTCTTCCAAAAAAAATATCAATCTTCAAGAATACAATCTCACAGAGAAACTAGCTTTTATCATTAGATCGCAGATTTCCGTGCATTTGCACAAAATATCCAAAGTGTAATATCATTTTCACCGTTTTTCCGTAACGCTCGACACATTTTACTTTATCTTTTGTTGTCACATTCCCCGGAAATACGAATTTCTGTGAAAATTCGCGCGTCGTAAAATTTCTTTCATCGGCGCGGAACGAAACAATTTTCGCTCCGAGAACGTCGATATATTTCAAGATGTTGGGATTAGACTGTTTACCTCTGTGACATCGGTCCCGTTCGTAGCACAAAGTTTACGTATCCTTCCGTGCGATTGACCGTAGCCAGTTTCTAGAGTACTTTTCACCCTTCCTTCGTAGAATATCGATTTAGAAGAGGACGCTCTCCCTAAGCCACCCTCCGTTAGTCGGCCCTCGCGGTGAAACCAAACTCGTCCGCGGCCATTCTTTTCATTCGTCGAACCAACCGACCACGAACCAATGAAAACTGTAACGATCCGCACACGGGACAATTTCACGACGGGTAAAAATATCGAGTACCGACAGTGCCATATTCCACTCGATCGTAAACATTGGTACTTACGGCGCGTACATGTACACACATAACGCGCGTATAGTTTTATAACGCATATACATATACATATACATAGATTTACACGCGTACGTATATAGACAACGATGTCTCACAGTGCGTGTAATTTTTAAACACACACACACACACACACACACACACACACAACAAACGTCTTATTAACCTCTTGCGCTAGTAACCGGTTCGCGGACCATAACGAGTGACCGAGCCGTATACGATAATTCGTCTTCTTTTTTGAATTCATCGGTATGTCACTGGATAGAAATTGCCAAGGAGTAATAAATTTATTGTTTGCTTCGCCTGGGTTGTATTTCAATATGCTCAAAGCTAAGAAAATGTTGCGATTTTCGGACAAGTATTCTCGACGTCAGCGCGAGAGGTTAATATTGGGACATACATCACGGTGTTTGAGAACGTGTAATTTTTAAACGATATTATAAGCGTGCAACAGTATCATAATACACAAACGCGCAAATATAATCGATATATTTGGACAACGAAATTCTTACCGGGGAGATTATTGCTCGTTTCTTCTTTTTTTTTTTTCTTTTTTTATTGGATTAATTGATCTCTGATTAGAATATTACATCGTGGGATTCTGACTTTTTACATTCACATTTCACTTCGCGTAAATAATTTTTCACTACTTTGCGTTTATTTCCAGGTTATTTCTATATATATATATATATATATTGAAATAATTGAAATATTTTTCTCTCGTATTTTTCAATTTGTCGCTTGCGTTGAATAAATAAAATCTACGTTTCTACCAATTGTCCAAGCATAAATTTCCAATATATTTAAAAAATAAATATATAATTAATAATTATATAATTATAATATACATAATTAAAAATAAAATATACATATATATTAATAATTATAATTTTAAATATATATATTAATAATTATAATTTTAAATATATATATTAATAATTATAATTTTAAATATATATATTAATAATTATAATTTTAAATATATATATTAATAATTATAATTTTAAATATATATATTAATAATTATAATTTTAAATATATATATTAATAATTATAATTTTAAATGTATATAATATATTTAAAAAACGAAACAAAATATTCATCAAAACATACATTTGCAAACAACTACATACATAGAGCAATGATTCTCAGCATTTGTTATAACAAATAAGAGTCATTGTGATTTTTATTCTAGACGTAGTCTGATTAGCACACACACACACACACACACACGATTTTCGATCGCGAAACACGTTTTCGGCCGCGTGAACGATACACGTGCAAACATACACACACACGCACACGCACAAGCACGAACACAGACTTCCGTCGACATCGTGAAGTGAATTGCGGCCACAGCTCGGCGATTTAACGAGCATTTAGGTATGAGATCGACGTTCGTCGAGGACTGGCAAGCATCGGCGATCGTCCCTGCTGCCAATCGCTGCGGTGCGAGTTCAACGAGTTAGTAGCATGGGCATGTGTGTGTCTGTCTGTCTGTCTGTCTGTCTCTCTGTCCGAATCGCAGCACGTTGAACGTCCAACCTTCATCGTAATATGTATATGTTCTCTATACGTGTGTACATCCCTGTGTGTGTCTATATATATATAGTATATATATATATACGTATAAAATACTTTTTCGTACATATATGTGAGAGTATAGAAATACGTATATAAATAAATAAATATATATATATATATATATATACACACGTATAAAATACTTTTTCGTACATACGTGTGAGAGTAAATATATATATATATATATATATATATTTATACACGTATATATTTATATTTATATTTATATATTTATACACGTATTTCTACACTCTCACACGTATGTACGAAAAAATATTTTATACGTGTATATATATATATATATATATGTATATATGTATATATATATATATATACTACGTACCCTACTTTAGATTATCGTATTTTTAAGGACGTGGTTTGCTTCGAAGTGGCGATAATTTGCAATTTGCGTAATTTTGATTTCAATCGTACATATTTTTCAACGAGTGAAAGAGAGACTAGGCGTTTGAGATCTTTCAACTCTCTTTAGAATCTCTGGATTTATGTGAGCGTAAATTCTCAGATTGAGATTTTTTAAGTTTAGGTAAGCATAAATTTTTCGTAAATCGAGATTTTCAGATTGAAGGAACGCCCTTTGGCGTTCTTCTAGATTCAAATTCTCGAGAGATTCTCTCTGTGAAATTCTCTATTGATAAAATCCCGAAACCAATGGGACTCGCCGTTCAGGCTCTGTATCAATGAGAATTTCCACTCGTCTATATAATTTTCGTCGCCTAGTTTCGACACAGTCAAGAGTACTTGACGCGTCACTGTTACCTCCATTCCCAAGTTATCGCCACGCCGAATCAGACCATCTTGTACTTGTTAAATGTACTCCCTACGCGACTCACGCCGAGCTTTTGCACGCTTACGAGGTGGCTGCCAAGAAACGTGACCTCCGAGTGCTGAGTTCGATGGTTGTTTGAACTGTTCTATAGATGTGCATGAGCCTGATCGGTATGACCGTTTGAGACTACAAATCCACCGATTATGGTTACGTGTTGTTTTTCACACATGTGAATGTGTCCTGATGATTTCTTCTCTCTCTCTCTCTCTCTCTCTTTTTTTTCATTTTATTTTATTTTAGAGATCCGAACGACTTCGTACTTTGTGTCTGCATTTCAATTAAATGTCAATATGTCAATGATCAGATCAATTAAAATACACAAAAATATTCGCGGAAGTGAAGATTGATGGAAAAGTTTTTTTAAAACATGGTGTAATACCTCGTTGTTTCGCATAAATTTCATTTCAAAGTCACCGTGTTGCTCGTCGATCAATGTTTAATTAACTTTTCATGCCACGGTGAGTTTAAGGTAAACGTAACTCGAAGGAAATGTTGATCCAATTACCTGTTACCTGTTGCCCGAACATCTAAGAATACGAAAGAAAGAAGGGAAATGTATTTTGAAACGAAATGGAACTATCCCCGTGGACAATATTTGTGGGAACCGTCGTGCAATCATGGAGAACGAAAACAGAGAGCTGAAACTTTTTCCTTTTTTTTTTTTTTAAAGCCGGTACGAGTACGACAGGAAAATTTCCTGGAAAGCTTCTCAAATAGCTGTTCCCAGTTTGCGACTCTTAGCTCAGTCTCTAAATATTTGGCAGCTCGAATACACGAGCGGCGAGTCGAAAACTCGAGTGCCTCCAAAATTCGAGTGCTTCGAAAGTTTGAAAAAAAATTTCAAAGTGCGTGGATTTGCGTGTTTGAAAGTTTGGGAATTGGAAAGTTCGAACGTTTCAAGATTTAAAATATTTTCGAGATTTTGAGCGTCTAGAAGTTTGGAAAAATTCGACGATCTTTAAGTTTGAATTTTTAAAATTTAAAGATTTCAATGTGTGTCAACACGCGAATTTTTGGAAGTCTGAGAATTCGAAAATTTGGGAATTGACAAGATTTAAAAATTTTGAAATGTTCAAACGTATAAAAGTTTGAAAAGATTCGACAAATTTTAAGTTTTCAATGTTTCGAAATTAAAAGATTAAAAGAATAAATACACTCGAGACTACGCAGATTTAAAGGTCTGGAAATTTGAAAATTTGCAAACTGGAAGGTTTCAAGATTTAAAAATTTCGAAGTTTGAAGAATTTCACAATTTTAAGTTTGTGCGCTTAGGAAATTAAAAGATTTCTGAATAAGTACACTCGGTCATTTTAAAATTAAAAGATCGATCGCCCGGAGATTCCAAAATTTCGAGCGTTTCAATACTTGAGTGTTTAAAAATTCGAAAACTCGAAAATGAAGAGTTTTTAAATTTCTGAGGAGGTCAAACTTACTTCATCTCTCTGCAAGTAAATTCATCGATGTGTCTGCAGTAACTTTTTCGCTAAAAAAAAAAAAAAAAATTAATAGATCCCCAATTGTTTTTTCAGCATTCGCGTTACACAGTGCGCCGTAAGATAACAGATCGCTACTAAAAGCTTTATTGCTCTGGGAAAATGCGTGTCCCACTTTCAAGACTCGTAATCGGCAACCCCTATTTGCGATTGATCGTGTGGTCGAAGCAAATCGAACTGATAAAACAGATCGTAACCTGCGACACTTTTCAAAATCACCTCTTCTTTGCGTAGTTGCTGTGGACTTTCCTCTCGGTTATCCGGCGTTTCCCTCTTCGCTGAGAATACTAAAATTGCAGACAAACGAGTAAAACGCGAGAGGAATTGATGTGATGAGAAATAATTGAATCGATAGACTCGTGTACATAAAATAAAGATAAATCAAGGAAAAAGCGGACAAAAAGTTTATTTAGTAGATATCTGAGCGAATGTTTCTGTTTAGAACTTACGTTCCCAAATTTCATTATCGACAGATGACGTAATGACAAATCTATTTGCAGATTATTTCTAGAAATCTACTCTAGATCCTCTCGTGTGTCTGGAATCAAATCTTCGATAACTATATATAAGTTTAAATTTAACTGTTGTTTCTGTCAAGCGCGATACTTAATATCTTCAATAGCGCAACGATGAACTTTAAGTCAATGATGGACTGACCGATACCGAAACTCAAAACACACCAAGTCTCTTTCGTTTTCTTAGATAATAGGTGACAGGTAAAGCACTTCTCCAAACCAAATACAACATTAAAAATTTCCGCGAGGTAAGTAGAGAGGCAAACGAACGAAAAGCTAGGGACCAGACTCCGGGCTGAGTGAATACGGTTTTTTGGGGAGCACGTGTCGCGTTAGGCAAGTGACGTGTGGCAATCGTCTAATCGTCGGTTAACCTTGGCAGTGATCTGCGCCCAAGGGCTGATCGCGAAGGACAAGAGCGGCACATCTGATCCATACGTGACCGTCCAAGTCGGCAAAGTGAAGAAACGCACCAGGACCATGCCAAGGGAATTGAATCCAGTTTGGCACGAGAAGTTTTACTTGTGAGTTACTTTTCGATAATCGCACGAGCTGACATTAATCTCAGTCATTTCATACATATAAATATATATATGAACAAAAAGATTACGTCTTTAATCTGCTATAAAAGCATGTAGTCTATTAACCTCTTGCGCTGGTATGTCAAATTCCAATTGCCAAAATTGTAATATTCTCTCAGTATATTTTTAAGTATGTTTAAGTAAAACAAAATAGGCAAGACAAGTGATAAATTTGTTACTACTCAATAATTTTTATCCAGTGACATCATACCGACAAGTTCAAAAAAGAAAGGCGACGAATTTGTTGGTGTGTTTGGTCGCTCGTTATGGTCCGCAATCGGTTGCCAGCGCGAGTGGTTTAATAAACTGATTACTGTAATAATTTACTTGAAATATTCATGTTCGCGCAAGGACTCTTGATCCAATTTATTCGGTTCATTTCGGTTAATTGAATTTTCTGTTCGTCTATACAACACATCTTATTTATACACCCGTGGCAAATAATTTTCAATCAAACGCAAATATTCGAAAGCATTGAGGCTATCGCGTTTGTTTAAATTACGCCAGAAAACGAGATTAACGAATTTTCAATTGAAAGTGGAACACGAAACATTCCAATGTTTTCGAAAATACCTTTGCTCGATCGAAAATCTCTTGCCAGGGATAGTATTCTACAAAAGGTTAACTATGGAGCTCTGATATCTGTGATCAATTCGATTTGTTCCCTCCCCTTTTCACACACATACTTTTGCGTGTTCTACTACAGTTAACACAATTTTGTGTATTTCATTGCAATCTATTTATTACAGTTTGAACATTTTCTCTTTACACTTTGATCATAATCTGATTTAATTCTGACGTTAAAGTCGTGATCGCCCAAAAGTCCAAATCCAATCCAAAGCCAATTAATCTAAATCCTCGTTGACAGCGAGTGCCACAACTCGTCCGATCGAATAAAAGTGAGAGTGTGGGACGAGGACAACGATCTGAAGTCGAAGCTGCGGCAGAAGTTGACAAGGGAGAGCGACGACTTCCTCGGGCAGACGATCATCGAGGTGCGTACGCTGAGCGGCGAGATGGACGTGTGGTACAACCTCGAGAAGAGGACTGACAAGAGCGCGGTATCCGGCGCGATCAGGCTGCACATCAGCGTCGAGATCAAAGGCGAAGAGAAGGTGGCGCCTTATCACGTGCAGTACACCTGCCTGCACGAGAATCTCTTCCACAGCCTTTGCGAGAAGAACGACGGCGTGGTGGCTCTACCTCAGGCGAAAGGGGACGATGCCTGGAAGGTGTACTTCGATCCACCTGGCGAGGAACTCGTCGACGAGTTCGCCATGAGATACGGCATCGAGAGTATCTACCAAGCAATGACGTGAGTCATTCCATTGAAACAACCTCGTCGCGCGCATTAACTTTTGACTCCAAAAATTTTCACTTTGGGATTTCATTCTGTTTCGTTCTGTCATTGGACAGTAGTATTGTATAAAATTCAAGATATTTAATGTTTTTTTTTCTGTATTTTACAATGTAATTTTTATGATGGTGATTAGATGAAAATTTCTTACAATCCACATAGTATCATTGGACTATAGTATTTTATCTAAAATTCAAGACATTTAATTTTCATTTTTTTTGTATTTTACAATGTAATTTTTATAATGGTGATTGGATGAAAATTTCTTACAATCCACACAGTATCATTGGACAGTAATATTGTATCTAAAATTCAAGATATCTAATTTTTTTTTTTTTGTATTTTACAATGTAATTTTTATGATGGATATTAGATGAAAATTTCTTACAGTCCACATAGTATCATTAGACTATAGTATTTTATCTAAAATTCAAGACATTTAATTTTCTTTTTTTTTTGTGTATTTTACAATGTAATTTTTATAATGGTGATTGGATGAAAATTTCTTACAGTCCACACAGTATCATTGAACAGTAATATTGTATCTAAAATTCAAATTTTTAATTTCTTTTTTCTATTTTATAATGTAATTTTTATGATGGATATTAGATGAAAATTTCTTACAGTCCACATAGTATCATTGGACTATAGTATTTTATCTAAAATTCAAGATATTTAATTTTTTCTTTTGTATTTTATAATGTAATTTTTATCATGGTGATTGGATGAAAATTTTTTTACAGTCCTCATGGACTACAGTATTTTATCTAAAATTCAAGATATTTAATTTCTTTTTTCTATTTTATAATGTAATTTTTATGATGGTAATTAGATGAAAATTTCTTACAGTCCACATAGTATCATTGGACTACAGTATTTTACCTGAAATTCAAGATATTTAATTTTTTCTTTTTCTTATAATGTAATTATAATTTTTTTACAATGTATTTTATAATGTAATTTTTATGATGGATATTAGACGAAAATTTCTTACAGTCTTCTCATCAATTCAAACTGATTACATTCTATTTCTTGAGAGCAAGTATTCATTCAGTTGTACCTTCCAAACTCAAATTTAAAAATTGCTATACACGATTTCTCGTTTTAGTTCTTTTCACGATAAAAAGATTGAAATATATAAATGTCGTAAACAATTTTTTATCGAAATCAGCAAATTTAAAAAGTCATTGAAACTTACTTGAAACTCAACTTCTGAAGGTTTTGTTCAATAACTTTCACGAAAGATTTATTCAACAATTCCTTCCAAAAGAACTCTCCTCTTTCATAACAAAATTGTTATCTTTCAGGCATTGTTCACTCGTGTAACACTTCAGCAGTGAATGATACCTAACACGAAAATAATGGCTAAATTTCCTTGTCGTACATCGAATTAAAATTTTGATTAAAATCAATGTTCACTCTAATTGAAATTTTAATCGCACACAGCTACATTTTCTACGTGTAATAATATAAATATTACTCGTTAATATATTAAATATTATATAACAAGTTAATAATCGTCTTTCGAAATATTTTCCAGACATTTTCACTGCCTCTCCATGAAATATCTGTGCCCGGGTGTGCCAGCGGTAATGTCCACCCTATTGGCGAACATAAACGCGTACTATGCTCACACGAGCGCGAGTTCCGCCGTTTCGGCCAGTGATAGATTCGCCGCCAGCAACTTTGGGGTAAATTATCATAATGAAATATCGAGGATCAATCTTTATTTAGTCCATGATGTGTTCCTGTAATTCCCTACTCGTAAACCAAATCGTCCATTGATCATCAATCATCTGTTTGTCTTTGCAAAATAATTTTACCAATTCCACCTTTTATTTTATTTCCATCGTTTAGCCTTTTGTTTAGCCTTCTGAGAAATGTTCCAACAAAACTCTACCAATTTCAGCTTTCATTTTATTTTGTTAATTTCCAACATTCAGTCTTCATTTCACTCAATCTAAATTACCCATTGATCATCAGTTTGTCTGTTTCTACAAAACCCTTAACCACCCCCGTGACTTTACCAGTTGCAGCTTTCAATTTTATTTCATCGATTCCCAACATATCTTATTTGGCCAATTCTCAGCGTTTTTTATTTGTCTCTTCTTCGTTTGGAAATGGACATCGTGAATACGCGCGATCTGATTCGATTTAATTAAAATTTTAATTAACATCTTCCTCGATTTTGCTACGCCAATGAGTTGATGAACGTTTGAACGTGAAATAGATCTCGTCTGTCGATGATAATTCGCTTTATCGTTACTGTTGGCTTTATTTGTTTTGTTAATTAAAGATAATGAACGCTGTGTTATGTTAAATGTGAAATTAGCTTGAGGTCGATTGAGGACGCGAATTTTTGGAGGCGAGGAGGATTTTCGACTATGCAAATCACCGGTCCAGGAATTGCGGATTCTCCGTCGTTCGCGCCACAGAGTTATTTCAGTAAAACAATGTAAATTTTTTCGAAAAAGTTGCCAGGAGGGGAGAAAAAAAAAAGAGAGACGACTTTTGTTGAATTATGCATGACTCTGTCTTTCCGAATGGCAGACGTACGATCCAATACCCTCGCTTCGAAAGCTCCAATAAAAAACAGCTGAACCGGATGTCAACGGGAGAAACTCTAAGAAATCCTACCGCGAATCTTCGAGAATCTTTATCGAAGTGAACTAAAAGCAAACAGCAAAGTAAAAGATTCCGTGAGAATATTGTATAACGAAATAAATAATTGAAATTTTCTTCGATGATACATCGCGTAATACGGAAAACAAATTGAGCCTTTTCTCGGAAACCCTCGAAGTTATTGTTTCGCGAATCTTCAAATTTATTCGTGCAAAAGATAAAAGTTTTATAATTATGTGTAACTTTCCATTACACGATATGAAGTGCTTGAAGAATATTGTACTACTGATCTCGGAAAGTGTCGGATTGTAGAGTAAATTTCAGCACTATTTTACGTATCCGAGTCATACTAAAATTTAATTCTCAGTAAATAAAAATAGGAGTCGACAAGAGGAAAGATTCGACACCTTTGTCAATGTTATTATTTGACTTAAGTTTCGCTGTGTTCGACGAGATACTTGGCAAATCTCTCCCCAAGGATCGTACATCCTTTTCCCTTCTTTATTTTTCTTCTTGATCCAGCCAACCTACACGATCCTCTCCCGCACGAGCACCTCAGGGATCGTAAAATTCTGCTTACCGTAAACAAAACCGTCGACTTGGCCAGCTGAGTTAACGACAAGACGCCGCCGTTTCTTTAAGAAAAATTCAAACACCTGTAGCTTTACGACAGTCATTTCTTTATTTACTCTTGAACAAGTACTACTCTGAAATTTAATGCCAATTCCAATACCGTTTCATTCGCGATAAGACGTATTAAGACGTATTTTCTACCGAAATTAAATATAAAAATAAATGTAAGAAACAAATACAGAGATTATTCATATCGAGTACAGTAACATTAATATTGTCCAAAGTTCTAAGTTTTACGAGATTGGATTTCTATTGTACCACGTATTACCAACGATACGGGCAACCGGGGATTTACAATCACGCGCCAAAATTTATCCCCAAAATTTAGGATAGAGATTTACTCGCTTCCCTAAATTCACCAGTTGTCCAGAACCAAAATCCTCACGTGCATAACACACTTTCCGGGGCGAGATGGGTATAACCATAACTTTCGATCGTTGCGGTTTGCCCCGGGCAGATAAATGGCTCGACCAAGATGGAGACACAGACCCTTCTTCCTAGCTGACGTTGCTCGTAATTTATATAAACTCGATATACATTTTTGCTCGTGTACGTATACATATATCCCTCGATGGTTCACGGCCGGTTTCCTCCGTTTCCAGAAAGAGAAGTTCGTGAAATTACTGGATCAGCTGCACAACTCTCTGCGAATCGATCTGTCGATGTACCGAAATAACTTCCCCGCCTCCAGCCAGGAGAAGCTGATGGACCTGAAGAGCACGGTCGATCTTCTCACGAGCATCACGTTCTTCCGGATGAAGGTCCTGGAGCTGTCCAGTCCACCGAGAGCGAGCACCGTGGTGAAGGATTGCGTGAAAGCGTGCCTCCGCTCGACCTATCAGTTCCTCTTTGAAAACTGCTACGACATCTACAACAGGGAGTTCCAAGTGGATCCGAGCGAGGCGAAGAGAGACGCGGAGGACCACGGCCCTCGCCTCGAGTCGCTCGACTTCTGGCACAAGCTGATCGCGCTGATCGTTTCGGTCATCGAGGAGGACAAGAACAGCTACGCGCCTGTGTTGAATCAGTTCCCGCAGGAGCTGAATATCGGTCAATTGTCGGCGGCCACCATGTGGTCCTTGTTCGCGGTGGACATGAAATACGCGTTGGAGGAACACGAACAGCACAGGCTGTGCAAGTCCTCGGCCTACATGAACCTCCACTTCAAGGTCAAGTGGTTGCACACCAATTACGTGAAGGACGTGCCGCCGTATAAGGGCGCGGTGCCCGAATATCCCGCGTGGTTCGAGCCGTTCGTCATGCAGTGGCTGAACGAGAACGATGACGTCTCACTGGAATATCTCCACGGTGCCTTCAACAGAGACAAGAAGGACGGAGTGAGTGTCCTTGAGAATTTGTTTGGTCTCGACTCGACTCGTTGATCCTTTCTAATTTGGTCCATTTTAATTTTCTCTGCAATTTTATGACATTTGGAGAAATTCAAGTATTATACATATCAACAATGATTGGTTCTTGGTGCGTTAACCTTCCCAAGACCAAATTGTCTTTAGCCTGTGAGAAAAATTTATTTTTATATGATTTATTTATTTTTATATGATACTTGTGACAGACATATCGCGTTAAAGCTCCCAATCAAATTAATTTGACGAAATTCAAGTGCGTATCAATTATGATTGGTTGTTGGTGCGTTAATCTTTAAAGACCAAATTTTCTTCAGCCTGTGAGAAAAATTTATTTTTATATGATTACTTGTGACAGACGTATCACGTTAAAGCTCCCAATCAAATTAATTTGACGAAATTCAAGTGCGTATCAATTATGATTGGTTGTTGGTGCGTTAATCTTTAAAGACCAAATTTTCTTCAGCCTGTGAGAAAAATTTATTTTTATATGATTACTTGTGACAGACGTATCACGTTAAAGCTCCCAATCAAATTAATTTGGCGAAATTCAAGTGCGTATCAATTATGATTGGTTCTTGGTGCGTTAACCTTTAAAGACTAAATTTTCTTCAGCCTGTGGGAAAAATTTATTTTTATATGATTACTTGTGACAGGCGTATCACGTTAAAGCTCCCAATCAAATTAATTTGACGAAATTCAAGTGCGTATCAATTATGATTGGTTTTTGGTGCGTTAACCTTTAAAGACTAAATTTTCTTCAGCCTGTGGGAAAAATTTATTTTTATATGATTACTTGTGACAGGCGTATCGCATTAAAGCTCCCAATCAAATTAATTTGACGAAATTCAAGTGCGTACCAATAATGATTGGTTCTTGGTGCGTTAACCTTTAAAGACCAAATTTTCTTCAGCCTGTGGGAAAAATTTATTTTTATATGATTACTTGTGACAGGCGTATCGCGTTAAAGCTCCCAATCAAATTAATTTGACGAAATTCAAGTGCGTACCAATAATGATTGGTTCTTGGTGCGTTAACCTTTAAAGACCAAATTTTCTTCAGCCTGTGGGAAAAATTTATTTTTATATGATTACTTGTGACAGACTTATTACGTTAAAGCTCCCGAGCAAATTAATTTGAAGAAATTCAAGTGCGTACCAATGATGGTTGGTTCTTGGTGCGTTAATCTTAAAATTTTCTTCAACCTGTGGGAAAAGTTTATTTTTATATGATTACTTGTGACAAACGTATAATTTGAAAAACTTTAAGTACGTACCAATGATGGTTGATTCTTAGTGCGTTAATCTTCCCAAGACCAAATTGTCTTTAGTCTGTGAGAAAAATTTATTTTTATCAATTTCTTATGATTATGATAGACGTATCACGTTAAAGTTTTCGATCGGACTATTAACTTGACGTTGTATAAATTCGTGTTCTGTGAATTTAACGTTTCGCGTGAAATCATTGCAGTTCCAAAAGAGCAGCGAGCACGCGCTGTTCAGCGTCTCCGTCGTCGACGTCTTCACACAGTTAACCCAGTGCTTCGACGTGGTCTCCAAGCTTGAGTGCCCCGATCCAGAGATCTGGAAGAGGTACATGAAGCGATTCGCAAAGACCATTGTGAAGGTGTTGGTTGCGTACGCAGACATCGTGAAGAAAGAGTTCCCAAGCCACCTGAAGGAGGAACGAATCGTACGTGACCGAGTTATCAATTAATACATATTATTTCATTATAGAATTTCAATTAATATATCTCGTTAGTTACAAATTAATATATGTTTCATTGTCCTACAAATGACAAATCCACGTTTCATTTTCAACTTGGAAGATCGTGTTCGTTCTTAGGCTTGTATCCTCATGAACAACATTCAGCAACTTCGAGTGCAATTGGAGAAGATGTTCGAGTCGATGGGCGGCGAGAAGCTGGAAGAGGACGCGGCGAACATTTTGAAGGAACTTCAACAGCAACTAAATGGAGCGCTCGACGATCTGGCTATGCTGTTTGCGAAGAGTTTGGAGCCGAGGATAACTGCCTCGGTGAAGGAGCTGGGGGATTTATTGTTAGCTATCAAGGGCGGTGGACAGGTGTCGCAGCCTGCGCAGAGGAACAACGTTGCTGTCGAGGCCGACGAGGTGTTGCGTCCTCTGATGGATCTCCTCGACGGAAGTCTGTCGCTGTACGCTGAATCCTGCGAGAAGACTGTGCTGAAGAGGCTGCTGAAAGAGTTGTGGAAGATCGTCATGAGGATTCTGGAAAAGACGGTGGTACTTCCGCCGATGTCGGACAAGAGCGTACGTGTCCGATTCTCAAAATTTTACCTCTTAAATAAGATTTAATTTTAGATTTCTAATAGAAATTTTCTTAAATTTTATACCTTTTTTTTTTTTTTTTCTTTTGCAGATGATGTTCAAGAATCTGACGGACAACGCGAAGAACCTAGCGGCGAACGCGAAGATAGAAGACATGTCGAAACTGTTCAAGAACCACATGGCTGGCAAACCGGATGTGAAGAACGCGCTGAGCGGTGTAATGGTACGTGATAACAATTTATAACACTCAATTTTTACCACAAACTTTTCACGGTACGAGATATTTCTATTGGTGTGTACGGACATATTTTATCGAGATTATCGCACTGGATAGAAAAATTGTAAAATTGTCCACTGATACTAGGATCGAAAGCTGGCTATTCAATTGCCAGTGAATAAGAAAGTTTTTACACTGTTCTAATTTCACGTAATTCGCAGGATATTTCCAAGGAAGTAGAGAAGAATCTGTCACCGAAGCAGTGCGCGGTTCTCGAAGTGGCTCTCGACACCATCAAACAGTACTTCCACGCTGGCGGGAACGGTCTGAAGAAGACGTTCTTAGAAAAGTCGCCGGAACTGCAGAGCTTGCGATACGCTTTGAGCTTGTACACGCAAACAACGGACACTCTCATCAAGACGTTTGTCACGTCTCAGATCAACCAAGGTAAGTCGATTCTCGAAACACACGTTGTCGAAAATGTTCATAAATATTCCCACCTGTACTGTCAGGCAAAACGAATCATCCAGTCACTTGATGAAAAAGTCGAAACTGATTATCACATAATCTTGGCAGTTTTATTTATCTTTTATTTACCGAGTACCGAGCGAAGTTTACTCGCTGTGAATAACGAAAGCGGCGACCACTATTTTCATCACTTTTTGAATGGCTAAATGAAGCATCGTGTCTCGTACAGTCGCATAAAGAGACTGACACACACACACACGCACACACATACACACAGTTTTCCAGCACACAGAACGCATCATCACAGATTAACGGCCAGCAAAATTCCAATTCAGAGCTACGGGTTTATTATTCGATCGATATAACCGATACGTGAGAGATAGATGAGTGGTTTTTGAAAAATTGGCAAAAATTTCAATTGCAACCAAGCGCGAATCGAATTGATCGGTTTGATCGAATACTAATCGGATAAAAGGCGCGGCGGTTGACTCGTTGTTTGCGATTGTCGTTCGTACACGCACACACACATACGCGCGCGCGCGCGAACACTTTTTGAAAAATTCGTCATCCGTGGTGGGAGTACAACCGACATAACCGAAATTATCGCGACAGTGCCGCTGAACACTGCGTCAAAGCTACGTCAGCGTCAGCGTTCGATGAGCAGCGAAAGAGGTGGCGACGAAGGGGAAGGAGCCGAGGGTATGGAAAGCCTCGAGGAACCCCTTCGCCAGAGCAAGCCCTCTCTTCGTCGAGAGAGTCGACAAGGTACCAGCGAGCACTAGCCACCTTAGAGCAGAAGCCTCGGGATTATTCTTCGCTGACTTCCGGCCACTTTTTTCGAAACCTAGGCGCTCGTTTTTTAGGACGTAGTGAACTGTTTGTGATTGCATTACTCACCGAGAAAGTCGTTTCGGGACTTTCACAGGGATCTCTCGCCGTTGCTCTCGCCTCTTTTGCCATTCGTGCGTGAACGAATCTGTAATACTTCTGCATTTTCCCGTTTTATTTCGAATTGAAATTGAAAAGAGATGCGTTTGAAGACACATCAGGTCTTAGAGAGGTTTTAAAGATGTACAATTTTTTTTTTTTTCTCTTTTTGGTAATAACATAATCAGAAATTCAACAAATTTTTTTGGGAACAAAGATAATTCAACAGCGTCCCGAAGACTTCTCGGTGATGGATAGTTGTATTAGGTAGCGCTGCTGCTGTCACTACTACTGCTGTTGCTGCTACTACCGAACTTGCAAAACAACGACCGTAGAAAATGGCCACTTTGCAATAATCACGCTCTGTCGTGTTTCAATGAGAGAATTGTCCGTTGATATTCCGAATAACGATCAATTGAGAATTAGCAGTATAAAAATATAACATAGAATTATACAGAAAATTGAACGAAAGGTTGCCGTTTTCTAACACTGTGTTTTACACTAAGCATTCCTTTAATCATCTTCTTTGAAGCTTTTACACACGTACACGTAAACACCAAATAGACTTTCAACCAATTTATCACTGGCAATCCACCATTTCACCACTCTTAGTTTTATTATGATTGTATTATTTCTATATTCGTCATACGAGAGGTATACGTACAGCTATCTAATTCAACCAACACCTGCGCAATGATTCATCCTGTCTTACAAGCCTTGTACAACCGAACCGATTGATCATCAGCTATGAAACGCATTATAGCGAATGTTTGACAGTCGCACGTCGAGCAGAGAACAACGAACATAAATTTTCGAAACAATTCAGTCAAGAAGCCGTAATTTGGTCATGAACCGGTTAACCGTTCATTAATTGTGCGTTAAAATCTTTCGATTATCTATGTATGTGCTTGAGGTTCTTCATGCGTCTCTGAGGCACTTGAACGCAACTTCGTCTTCTCTGATGAATGCTCGAAGAGACAAAATTCCCATATATGCATACGATTAGAGCATGTAATCTGCTCTAGAACTAGACATTAATTATAGTATCTTAGCATCAGATCTCAGAAACTTTTAGCCCCGGATAGCGGTGACCGAAGCTCTATTTTCCTCTCTTGTAGTACTTAGCGGCTTGCTCATTGGAATTTCAATGTGAGATCCAATTGGCTGTTGATAAAGTTCCAGATACTGCCGGTACAGAGGAGAGCTCGGTTGGAGAAGTCAGTATTCAAGTGGACCTGTTCACACATCCTGGAACTGGCGAGCAGAAGGTCACCGTCAAAGGTACGTTTCCTTTTGCATACTTTAGAATGGCCACTTATACAGATTACACGTGTACTATAACTATTTACTATAACTACATATATTACTACGTAAACTATAACTATAACTATTTACTATAACTACAACTGTGTTTACTATAACTATTACTAGTGTACTATAACTATTTACTATAACTACATATATTACTACGTAAACTACATATATTACATGTGTATTATAACTATTTACTATATATATTACTATATATATTACTATAATTATAATACTATATATATATATATAACTATATATATTACTATAATTACATATATACGTAATCATACATAAACATATAAATTACACTATATACGTAATCATACATAAACATATAAATTACATTATATTATGTATCATTATAACATATTATTTAATTAATAGTATAATTATATTGTACTGTCAGTTGTGGCTATATAAATTAATATTTATCAATTCTATTTTATCAATTATATTTCATTCCGTGTTTACATAATTATTTGACATAATCATATTACATTATACTATTATAATACAATTGTTCAATTAATAGTATAATCACATTGTGCTATTAATTGTAACTATATAAATTATTATCAATTTTATTTTTATTAACTATATCATATTTCGCGTTCGGATGTCGATATTTTATTACAAATATATGTAAACAGTTGAACACAGATCAGTTAGGCGTTAAAAATATACGAAATATACGAATGATAATTTCACTTTGCAGTTGTCGCTGCGAACGATTTGAAGTGGCAGCTTGCCACAGGGATGTTCAGGCCGTACGTTGAAGTGAACTTGATCGGACCGCATCTGACCGGCAAGAAGAGGAAGCAGTCGACAAAGTCAAAGAGCAATAATTGGTCGCCGCAGTTCAACGAGAGCTTCGACTTGTGAGTGTCTCGTCTTACTTCGCCCTGGATCCTTTCCATTTTATTTCAAAAATCGTTTACCATACTACTGTAACTCTCGCAGTTGTCGTGCTATGATATTGCGATAAATAAGACAAATTGATGGATCAAATCTTTCAGATAAATTTATTAAAATTAATTTCATTTTAATATAAATTTTTTAGTTAAATTTTTATATTTAAATTCATTATTTAACTTAAAATTAATTATATTAATAATAAAATATGAATTTGAACAAAATAAAGTTATTAATAAACAGTAAATAAAAAGTTATTAATCAATAAATTGGTATTATTTGTGGAATAGAAAATTAATTTTAATTTATTGTAAAATGACATTTTAATGTTATATATATATTAACTAAATTTTCTTAAATTATAAACTAATTATTATTATTATTATTCATTCAATTAATAAAGTTAAAATAATTTGTTCTTTCTAATATAATAGGTATAAATCTATGATTGATTCCACAAATTTGACAACACTGGCCAAAAAATAATCCTAGTCGAATTAGAAATAAAAAGAAATTTCAAATCAAATCGGACGAAATTCTTATTTGACTTGAAATGCCATTTCAAAAGTATTGTTTCAAAAGTCTTCTCAAAGCGTTTCACGTGTTTATACAGGGCGACCACCGAAAAACTAAAGGGTTTGAAAAAGTCATAACTTGTTCCTTTTTGAATCTTTTTTATTTCCTTTTTTTTTTTTTTTGTAGGCTTCACACATAATACTGAAAACAAATCCATTAATTATATTTTCAAATAAAATAATAAAAAATTAAAAAAGCACGTGTCTGCAAAAGTTATTTTTGTTTCGTGTCATTCAGTCTTTTCAGTGAGCATCCTGTATAAAATATCATTAGGTATTAATATTATATTATATTATAATGTTATTAATATAGGTATTGACGTATTCGTTTCCACTTTTTTGTTTTCAGCATGATCGGCAACGAGCAGCAGCAACTCGACTTCTACGAGTTGCACATCTGCGTGAAGGACTACTGCTTCGCGAGAGAGGACAGACTGGTCGGCGTTGCAGTGATGCAGCTCAAGGATATCGTCGAGGAAGGTTCGTGCGCGTGCTGGTTGTCGCTCGGCAAACGAATCCAGATGGACGAGACCGGCTGGACGATCCTGAGGATTCTTTCGCAGAGGAACAACGACGAGATCGCGAAGGAGTTCGTGAAGCTGAAGAGCGACATCAGGCAGGAGACACCGTTACCGAATCCCACCTGAAGCTCTGGGTTAAAGCGTTAAAGCCACGACAGCGAAGCGATGCGATCCTTCGAGTTTGGAAAGAGCTCGAGGGAGGAGAAGGAGAGGGGCATTGTCCACAGGGGATACCAAATATAAGCGTTCGGCCGTCGTTGTCGAGAATGAAGTTCTTCAAACCAGCCAACTCGATCAAATTCAGCGAACAAACTAAAGGAACAAACAAACAAACAAACAGAAAGAAAAAAAATAAAGAAGAAAACGAGCAACACTGCGCGAATCGTCGAGCGCGCGGATTATCGAGAGAAGCGCGGAACGCAAAGTAAAAGTAAGAAACACATTCTGTTTAACAGAGACAGACACAGACAAGCAAGAAAACCAACAAGAAAAAAAAAAAAAAGGAAAGAAAAGAAAACGAATATCACCGATAAGGACGATCGGCCGAATCCTTTTCGGTTCCAAAACGCTAAAAAGTAAGATGTCGGTCAGTGAGGGAACGAGAGAGAAAGTGTCACGCGACATCGTTCTTCTTGCTTCCTTCGCAGCCAGCTTCCGGTCGAGCGTGTTCTTCTCTCTTTTTTACGAATCACAGAGCTTTAGCCCCGTCCCCTATATAAACCAAACGAGCCGAGAATTAAAAAAAGAAAAAAAAAAAAAAAGAAACGAAAGAAAGAGAAAAAGAAGACAAAATCGAGACAAACGAAAGGTTTTCACATTCGTTGAAAACGAGCCCCCGAATCGAAACGTTCGTCCAAATGAAACTCAGACAAAGGGAGAAGAGAAGAAACGGAAAGATGATTCCTCCAAATCTTCTTCTAGAGGAGAAGCTTGGAGACATACTGGGATAAGGAAACGGAACAACGTCTGAGACGATGATCGAGCACGTACGGACGGGCTTTTCGTTCAAAAAAAAAAAAAAAAAAAAAACAAGTGCCGTGAAAAACGGAGGATACGAAACCTCAGGTATCGGAGAGTGTGTTCTTGAATAGACGCGACACGTGAAAACAGTGCTGCCAGTACGCAATATATTTGGTAAAATATTCGTAAACGTAAGAAGAGGAGAAACGAAGGAGTCGAATTAGTCGTTAGATGATACGTCCAGCGCGATTGGACCTCGACGGTGTACGGATTCTCGTAAGAGAAACGAAAGCAGCTTCGTTCGTGACCGTGAAGAGAAAAAAAAGAGGAAGAAGAAGAAGAAGAAGAAGAAGAAGAAAAGAAAAAGAAGTACGAAGAACGATCGAATCGGGGTCCGTGATCGCTAGCATGTTTTGCAAGCTATGAAACGCGAGTCGGGCGTGTTCTGTTTTTTTTTCTTTTTTTTTTTTTGTTTTTTTCTTTTTCTATTTCTTTTGAAAACTAAGAAAAAGCGAATCGCGCTGTAAACGAGGAGAAAACTACGTATGAAACTACAGTATAAAATACAGAGAGACCCTCGTGAGAGAGGCGACGTTTTAGGCCGTTTGTTCGGGATGAAACGAGTTTACTTGTAGATATGTGAAACACGTTGTTGACGAAAAAAAAAAGAAAAAAAAAATTTTTTCTAAATAACAGTTTAACGTAGCATTGCGTACGACCAATAGGCGCGCCGCGACGTCACTCGGGGCGCGCCGTTAGTAATAAAATAGGCATTGTAATGTAAAGTACGTTCTTATTGTAAGAATTAACAAGAGATCGTAAGAGTCTGATCGTTGATGGTGAACTGAAATTTTACGAGGTCCGCTCGAAGGCTTCGAGCAGTCGCCGTGAATCGCCCCCGTTATACTGGGCCCGCTTTGAAGACCTTGGAGATACAACAGATGTTCACGTACACGAGAAATCCAGATACTCCGTTCCAGCGAAGAAGAAGACGAAGACGAAGGGAAAAAGAGTAACAAAAGACGAAAAGAACGAGAAGAGAAAGAGACAAAATCCGAGACAGGATCCTTTCGTCCGCCCTCGATTTTCATTCTACGTACGATATCGCGCGAGACAGAGGCCGGTTCTCGATCCGATTCCAGCCGTGAACTACTATTTCTACGAATTGACATGCAGCCTAACATTTTCGAAATTAAAAACTTTATATCGTGGTAGCTGTATGGTAAACTTAACTAATCATGTATAACTTCGACACTTTCCCCCTTTCGACGATCATTGCTTTTATGTGTGAGCGTGCAAAACCAAATATGTAAGCGACGAGGTGGAAACGTAAGCTTCGAAAAAAAAAAGAATAATAATAATAATAATAAAGAAACGAACATTAATACTTCTCTGTCTATTCGCTTAAAGATATCTCATCGATATTACTCTTGTATATAGATCGAAACATTGTGTCCACTCGTGGGAACAGTCGGTCGGTTGGGTCACGATGATCGGAGCCCGCGGTTCTCTGGCGCCTCGACACTTCCCCCCCGCTATATACGAAGAATGAAAGAGAAAACGAGAAATTCGTGAAAATCGAGGGCGAACGCGTTAAACGGTCCCTCAATCTGCTACAAGAACGGTAAACGGTCCTCGCGGAAGTATACCAAACTCCTTAAACGTTCTCTGTTTCGCATCTAATGTCGTTCGAACACTTTGGGAGACACCTTGTTTCAGGACGCGATATGGTTCGCAATTGTTACACGAAGCTTCGACCGGATCTCCCGAGAAGATTGGGGTTTAAAGAAAAGAAAAGAAAAAAAAAAAAATATGTGAAAAAGAAAGAGAAAGGAAGCGAAGAAAAGGGGAGAAACGATGAAACGAAGGACAAAAAAAAAGCAGGAAAAAATAAAAAGAAAACGAAAGACGGGAATTAATAATAATACATTAAAAGAAAAGAAAAAAGAAAAAAAAAGATGCACGCGACTTTGAAACTAAATAAATTTCTTTCTCCTTTGGCCTATGCAGGCCAAACCAGATATATCAATCCAGAGATTACACATGATTAATATCCACGAAAAAAAGTTTCTACTACGTAGTACGTCTAGATATACTTACGTATATTGTGTATAGTATCTAAATGCTGATGTAGCTGCGAGCGCGGGATATTCGTCAGAAGAGAGAACCACCCGAGAGAAACAAAGACGGAAAAATTCGGCTATCTTTGCGATTACGTATAATATAATTACAACCAGGCGCTTCACCATATCCGGACGCGCGTGCGTTTACACGCGGTCAGGCGCAGAACCTTCGCATAGAGTTTCGTTTATTAACCACGTTGTATTACACGTACAAGCGCATAACTTTTCAAAATTACCTCTTGCCACGTCACTTTACGTCGGGAATGCGAATACCAATGGCGTTTCGCCATTGAAATGGAAAAACAGCGAAGAGACGACAGTTTGTCGTTCGAATCGTGCGCGAATCTCATTGCGACAAATCATGGTAGAGCGGGATAAAGTTTTTGTAATTTCAAGGTATTTCGTTTCGTTAAAAGTAGAAAAAAAAAAAGAAAAGAAAGAAAGAGGAGAGATTTACAGCGCGTTTACACGTTGACGCGATTGGAGCCTAGGATCTGTGGATATCGGTTTCGATCGGAATGCTACTCGTGCACGAAACCAAAGCGTCGTGGCTCGTCTTTCTCGCGACGTTCGTGCTGTTTCCATTATTCCAGTCGAAAATCAATTTCGAGGCTTGGAGGCACGCACGGCGTCTTGAATGCGAGACGGGATACAACGCGGCGTCAGCGAAATACATGCATACGGATAGAAAATAGGAAAAGATATACGTATGAAAACGAAGGTCGTAAGAAGTAAGATATTGAGAGAGAGAGAGAGAGAGAGAGAGAGAGAGAGAGAGAGAGAGAGTCCGCGATCTCGCCACCATCTTCATTTGTAAAAGTGTCTATTTTCTCCGCTGCCTAAGTACGTGCTAATTAATGAAAAAGGGCTGGCGAATTCGGTAACTAGGGCAAATCCGTCGACGAAACGGAAACGGCCTTTTGTGTGTTTGTTCCTTTCCGCTGGTGAGTTTTCCGGGTCGGTCGGCGATCGCGCTTCGTGGACGGGATTGACCGCCAATTTTTTCCTCCTACTCTCCGCTTCGATTAATATCTCGTAAGCTTAATGAAAAAAAAAAAAAAAAAAATGTCTCGTGTATTCTGTGATAACTACCCCTTGAAGTACATGTACACACGTATACACACTTGCACATACACGTTCCGTACACATCTACAGACGAACATGTATTTACACTTACACACGTTATCAGGCTGACACACGTGACGAGTACGCGACATACATAATCTGCATTTCAAGCAACGCACGGCAGTGCTTCCTCGATTGGTCATCACAGATTGGAATTTCGAAGTTTCTAGAAAATTTCTTAGTTTCTCTTCTTTCAAAAAATTCAAGCGACGTCCTTTGTCTGTTCTGTGCAAGATGCTCGACGTATTTGTTCGTTTCAAGTCCATAACATCGAACAGGCTAGTTTAGCGAAAAGTAACAGGCCAGTTAACGTTGCACTACTGTACACACATACATACATACGTACATACACGTACATAAATACATACGACACGATACACGTATTTACATACCACGCACGTGACACGATCAATCCCAATAGCAACAGTATTTTTCTCTTTTAAAACATTTCGATTTCTATTCTCTATACTCGTTAAACGTCCGAGGAGTCTCGTTGGTACGTGATAATACGGAAGATACCATGGCAATCGTCGCGACGATAGTGATTGGCGACGGTCTGCGCGACCGATCGGCAACGTAATGAAAACAACAACGGATACAATGATATCGACACGAAAATTAAACGCAAGGAACGCAAAAGCATTTGTCGGATAACGAATGAAGGTAAGAGAAGAATTTCGGCGAGCAACGAGGGAACGGGAGAAACGACGTAGGTATTTTTCACACGATAGTGACGTTTTCGCTGGAATTCACGGAAATTTTCGCTATCACGCGAGGGCCACGTTTGTTTCTTACGCGGTTCAGAAGTCGTAAGAGTGAACAAAGGGAAGTTTATTCTTTTTTTCTTTTTTTTTATTACATCTGGTTTAAACTCAAGGGGAATATTGCACAGCTGTTCGAGGAGAAGTATTGTAATAACGGTAATGCGAAAAGTGTATCTGGATCCGGATGGAAAGTTTAACCCTGCCGGGACTTGCGCGCGGAATTCAGTTTTCAAGTGCTTTATCTTGTATTCTACCCTCTTAAGATATTAAATATAATTACTAAATACATAATTTGTAAAATTGATATCATTCTAGTATTGTGACATTTACATGCATATTGTTATTATATTATTATAACGTAACGTGATGCATGCAATGAGTGTTTAGAAATGAGTGTTTAATAATAACACTAGTTGATAATAGTCTTACGACAATTTCATTACTTTGAATAACTTTGAATTAAAATTTTGAAGGAAAAAAAAAACAAAAAAGAAAAAAAACAAAAAATACACGAGAAAAGATGAAAAAAAAGAACGTGACAGAAAATGGTCCCTGAAGGGTTAATAAAGCAAAAAAAAAAAATTATACTGGCTACAAGCGGGAAATGGAATATGTCGCTGTGTTTACGTTATGAGAACGTATATCCATAGGTTATTTTAATATGTTAAATAACGTTTAAATATTTATATTTATACGGTCATAAAAATTGCCGTAACTTTCTTCTGTAATTGAACTCCTCGTTGCACGATCTAATCCGTCATTCTTCTCAGTGAACGTCTAATCAAAAAGAAAATGGATGGGACGCGTACATCGTGGAACAAGGTCGATTGTTCGTAGTTCTTGTTCGGCGAGAGCGCTAAGGATCACCGCGACCTTTTGCGTTCAGTAGTGCTGACCACGAACGCAGAACCAAAAAAAGAAGAAAAGAAAAAGAAAGGAAAGAAAGGAAATCATATCGAGAAGAAATTGCACTATAGATTGCTGTATCGTAAGAATGTGTAGCAGAAGAAACCATTTAACAAATGAAAGGGGAAAAGAAGGAAAGAAAGAACAAATATATACACAATTGTTGACAATACTATGCTTGAGAAATCGTATGACGCGTATATAATTGTACTTAACAAATATATTAAAAAAAAAAAAAAAAAAAGAAAATAATGGCAGAATGTTTGTGTTTCGTAAGTAAAGTATATAAATTTGTAATCATGTGACAAGAGACGCATTTGCAGAAAAAAAAGCAAAAAAAAAAAAAAGGAGGAAATAATAATGTACGGAACGCGTAACTTTGTGCGTACGTGCGGATGACTGCGTGATTATTATAGATATTATGTCTCAACGAGTAATGAGTACATTCTCACATCGTCCCCGCAAAAAATGTGTACCATTGTTATTATCAAAATTTTTAACGCAAAAACCAAGCGAACGACGAGAAAGAAGAGATAATTACGACACACCGTTGCGCAGCCTCCGAGTATACATAGGTGAACCTAAAAGCAATTGTATCAGAGTCAAACACGCACATTCAACACAAAAAAAAAAAAAAAAAAAAGAATAATACCTATAATACCAAACCCCAGATCTTTATTAATAAATGTTTATCTTTCGTTCGTTCACTCGCACGAAGAGCTTATTATTCTTTGAATCGTTTGTATGATCGAGAGGTCTGTTTCGTCATGGTAGCTCTGAACGCGTGTGCACGATTTTACGTTACGATTCTGCCTTTGAAAAATGGTATCTCTCTTGATCGATCGACGCACGCGACGCCAGCATCGTCAGGTATTTTTTTCGAATTTTTGTTACTTCATCGATCCACGTTTTTTTTTTTTTTTTTTGGTTCGTTCTGTTCAACATCATTTACAATTGATCATTTAATAATCCTGGCCGAAATAACTGTTATTATCGTTGTTATTCCAATGAAATTCATCGTCGTTTCTTCTCTCGTACTTGTCCACACACATGCGTAAATGCATACATACGTACATACATACATAATAGATAGGTATATATATATTACACATCATTGAACAATTAAAAACCAGTGCGATTTCATCGTATTCGATCGACGCGTACATACGTTACTTTCATACTTGCTTCACGTTGTCATAAGAAAGGGAACACGAAGAAAATGAATACGTTTTGCCATCTCGATAATATTTTTCATCTTCACGTTCTAGAGAAATAGCATAACACGTAATATTATATAATAGCGTAACACGTAGCTTCTTTTTTCAAACTTGCAACAATTATCGAAGTTTTTCCAATTTTTCAGATGCAAATCGCAAGCTAACGTGCATCGTGATTAATTCTTAACGACATAAGGGACAAAATTCTATGCGAGACGTTGATTGTAATCGTTTGTTTATATTCGATCATCCGTAAAAAAAAGATTCTACGAAAGAGGTAATTTTGTTTGGCGACGTGTGCAATCGTTAACAAGGTTCGATCGATAAATTAAAAAATGGTATGGCGTATGACGTGATATATATACATATATACTTATATATATATATATATAGTATAAGCCAGCGAAAGAGAGAATTATCAAATGACAATGCTGTCCATGAATGTTGCGAACTAAATGCGAGTACGAAAAAAACTGTTACAGTCTATTGATCAACTGAAATAGCTAAATGGAGTATAAGAAGGTGATGTGCGTGAATAAAAGGCAAACAAGGAAAGTTGACCAGAGTTTTATCGTCGTTGAATCATTGTGCCACATTCGTGCCCCATATCGCCGTATTTTACGTGAAAGGTAAAATCGAACTTTATTATCAGAAATTATTAGACAAAATTTAAGATGTGACTCGATGTTTCATCGTCATAATTACTGTACGAAATTTACCGAACACAGACCGTCGACGATCTAGAGGACTCACGTTCGATTAATGACATTCGAATTTGTCCAATTTTATTTCAATTGGTGTTACTTTTGTACCTCAAGATGCAATTGACACGCGTCAGAATAAAACACACGTATGTAAAATGTCCATTGCGCAGAATTGACCTCATTATATCTCTTCCAGTAGACACACATTGGAACAATTTCTTTAAAAATTCGATATTAGTTGATATAAGATTATCATTTTCAAAATTTTATTAGAGACCTCTGGATTTTCGTCTGATAGTTATACGAGAACGAAACTCATGCATCTAATCGTTGTTACTATCGTTTTTATCACCTTTCTCTTTCCAACGGCCATTATCATTGTTATCACAGTAATTACGACATGGATCTTCACGTTATAGGAAGCGTCCATTTATTGTCTCGGGTATCTTTTTGTAACTTATAATTTTTGCATTAACAGTGTAAAATATTACATTCTAACCGTATAAACGCAAAGTATATTGCATACATAGCTGCACATATATACATATATACAAACGGTTCATATAAAATGTTACAAATTGTAAGCGAAACTTGTTGGAAATTGATTTCTGGCATTTAATGATTTTCAAGAAGGGAAACATATCATAGGGCATCTTAAATTTAGTATCTAGAAAAATTTCGCTGTTATCCTTACTATACAATGCTAAATGATTTGCAACGCTTTATATGGGCCAGTCTATGTATATATGTATATAGTATAATACTTGTACATATACACAATCACGCTATACATTCACAATCTGATGTTGCCTCGTGTTTCAGCGAATTAGCAAAAATCCGAGTCTAACATAACTACATATCTTTATGTAATTTCCGTAAAATTCATCTATAAAACATGCAAACAGATCGATCTTGTTGGGACGCGAAGCATCAAGCAAAATGGAGCATTTTCTAAATACACAGTTCATTGAATTTAAAAATTCTTATGTTCTAGTATATCAATGATCTTATCATGTTCCGTTCGTTACATTACACTTGTCTATCCCTTCTCATTGTGTGTCTCTCATACTTTCTATTTTCGTTTAATATACATTAATACATATCAAGTTATCCAAAAGAAATATATAATGACTAATTCTGTATTGAGTTTTACACTTTCTTCTTCAACCAGAACTACATGAAATGAAATAGTGTTAAAAGAAAGAAATAACATTTCGTAGAATACCTGCTTTTCTTTTGTAAATGTTAATAAAGCATAGCATCTAAGACGCTGTTATTTATTGTTGCACTGCAGAGCTGCAATTTTTTTTTTTTTTTAATAAGGTTTTCCTTCTCATTGTATCTATTCTGCGTGCAAAATGAAACATCCATAACATATGCTACATAATCTCTTGAAAGAAAAATTGCTATGTGCAATCATTGTCTCCAAAAATTTAATCAAGAATTTAATTAAACAACGTTGAGACACTTATCTTAACAACATTCATGAATGATACATTTCAATATAAAATGTTTAACATTATGTTTATTCATTGTTGACCATTTGCACAGCTTGTTTAATTTTCATTCATATAAATTTATCATATTTAATGTGCTCTAAGTGGAATAAAAATTATACAACGTAAGATGATAAATGTCAAGAATAAGAAAAGGATGGCTTTCTTAATGGAATAGGCTGTCTCAGGGGAAGGTAATTCACAAATTCTAATAAAACATCAAAATCAATCAACCACAAGACATTTTACTTAAATACCATCTTTATTAATAATTTATTTATATATTTATTCTAAAGCAAGATTTCTCGCTATAAGAACATTTCAATTGAACGATTAAGCATAGAAATAAGAGAAAAGTAAATTGCTAAATATCTAATTTCTCTTTCAATTGATACCTGAGTCTTCTTTGTGTTTCCGTTTCATTTCTTTTGTTATTATATTTAAGATTTGACATTTATTTATTTATATAATTTATATATTCTTTTAAAATTATAACTTCAGATATGTTGGAAATGCATAAGATATATAAAAATATATCAGTTAAATAATATGTTAAAATAATTTTGCTACATTGCATATTTTTTTATTCAAAATATATTAACTATGTCAATTAAAAACATATATGTCTTTCATTTATGTAATATTTCATAAATTTATTAAAATGTTATATACTATACAACTATGGTATGCATACATATGTATATATATATGTATATATATATATATATGGTATCCATATATCCATAAATACATATATATATATGTATATTATTAAATATAATTTAGATAACTTTTCATACTTTACTATTATTCGTACATGCTTTTGGTTAAGTGTTCTCCTGGTTTGTATATTTTTCCCAATTTTGCCTGCAAAGAACAATATTGAATTAAAATTTCATACTGCGATGGAATAGTACTAAGAAATTTCTTAATTATGAAATAATTAATAAAAATAAAGAATAACAATTTAGATAGAAACATTGCTGCTAATACATTACTTTGAAAAAGTATTAAATATTATGACAATATAAATCGACATTACCACTTCTATTTGGTGAATACGAGAAGCAGCTGAATAATTCGTAGGGTTTAGGAAACTGAAACGATGTCTTCGATAGTCGAATATCATTGAATATGAAAACCAGCAAAAGAATAACGTGCTTACTAGAACACTTGGTGTAATTTTTTCAATCATTTTCAGATTTAATACTTAAACTTCTGTGTACTACAATAACGTAACCTTTAAGAACGAGGTTATTATTAGTGCTGCCACACCAGCAACGATTAAATTACTATTACGTATCATAGTTAATTTTTGTACAAGAAATAATTTATTTAGACTGAACTTTACAGTAGGAAGCCAAATATTATATATAATTTCTTTTAAATAATCCGGTAGATTTTAACGAGTTGAGACCAAAAATGCAAGTTTTTCTTTTAGGAATTTTTTGATTCAAAAGTTACGCCTTTATAAAAGTCAGTGATTTTTAGTGCTTTAGTTTTTCATTTTAGTGTCATTACCGATGTAATGTTACTTTTTCATATTACATATTTTATAGACTGTATTTAAGTTAGATTATATTATCGGCCGCCATAAATTTATTGATCCCTGCCGGTTCGATCAAAAAACAAATAATTATACTAAAAATATTTTAGACCCTAACTTTTGAACTAAAAATTTTTCTGGTGATCCAATCAAATTACGCTAGAATCCAATATGGCGTCACGCAAGTCTGTCACACACACTAAAAACGCTTCATTTTACAGTTGATAGTAACTATAACTTTTAAACCAGTGGATTCTTAAAGTTAAAAGTTTACATTTTTTATCTCAACCTATTGAAATCTGATCCTATCTATCCAGATTATCGAAAAAAGTGTCCATAACTTTTTATTTTCCCTGAGGTAAAACTTAACTTTAAACCGTAATCACGATTATGCTTTGTTAACTGGGATACTAATAATTTTGAGATATTTACATAGTTTTCAATATGTATTTCAATACATTCCGCACCTTCGTTGTTATTCATAAGAATTTATTCGTCAAGAACGAGTTAAATAAAAGCATAATCGAACGAGATGCATCTCTCATGAAAGCAAGTACGACAACACGATGTATCTCAATTAATAAACAAGAAAGAAAAACGTTGACTTTTATTCTATACGTTATGCTTTCATTGCGTGACGCAACATATACATCAGAGGATGATACATCAAGCTTCGAAACGTGTCAAGTGTGAAGATTATTTTCTTTCGTGATACGAACGCATAGTGTGCATGTCATTGCCGAAATCGAAAGTAGATGGCAGCATCGGTACCCGAAGAACGAAACGGTGCGGACGAAGAATGCCAGTCGATCGTTGTCCGCGACCGCAGGAGGACGGTAGGGTCGACAGTCGCATGCTATTCGAGTGCCACTCGACATTGGTTGACTGTTCTCCCGTAAGCCCCACCTACCAGGTGGTCGTTCGAAAGTGTAGTTGTGTAGTTCCGTACGGCGAAACGACGGGCGCTGCTCTCTTCTCGAATGTATCCGATCCGCGAGAATATCTGAAATGAGACATATCGATGCACTAATATGTGACGGTTGAGAGAAACCGAGGACCACGAACGTGCGAGAGGGTGGTTTACGCGCGGGTGTGTTACCACTTTCGAAGCGTGAGAAACGGACTGCGTAAGGAAGTGGCAAATGTGAAAAGATCTCGAGAAAAGATACGCATTCGAGAAAACGAAGGAGAAAAACGTGTGTGCAAGGAGCTCCGTGCGAAAAGAATTTTCTATTTCGGGGGGGGTTTTTTTTTTATACTCACATATATATCTATTATATACACGCATATATATATATATAATATATATATATATATATATAGATATATATATCTTTCTCTCTCTTTGTATCTCTCTACTTTCCTCTTCTTTCTTGTCTCTCCGTCGTTACTTGATTTATTCCGAGTGAAAGTATCTATCTCATTGCGGCAAGTGTTCCCTCGCCGCATAGTATGCGCCGTTCTTATGTCACGGGCTAACAGGCAAAAGGCAGAAGAGTAGAAATAAATAAATAAGAAAGAAGAAGATAAAAAAAGAAGAAAAGAAGAGAAGAAGTGTTTCATTTAACCAACAAGGACGTCAGCTGTGTGCGCTTTTACGAGGGGGACGTGTGAGAGAGAGAGAAACCACTGTTGAGAGACAGAGAAATGGCGGCGCTGGTGGCAGGTGTTCAGTATGGTTTGTCGTCGCACAGCAATTTTCACGAAAACAAGTCATTGATCTTCGTGAAACTCACCGACTCGGCGCAACGTGCCATCGAGGACTTCCTCAGAAATCGGGTGAGTAAATTTATGCCTATCCTCGTCCCGTTTCGAGATCAACGCGGTCTCTCTTCTTCGCGTATAAGCTAGGAACCGCGAGCTTGTGTGTGTATGCGTACGCGCCTCTGCACGCGTCACGATGCAGTCATGTGTGCGTACTTACATGTGTCGTAATGTCGTGCGAAGGAAGGAGACACCCGATCGTCACTTGCTCGCCATATTTCGAATGGAATTTCGTTTCGCTGCACGATCAAAGAGAATCGTCGGGCGTTTGCTCGCGAACGTTATTAACCTAAACCTCGCGAATATCTCATCGTCGGTGGAAACGCCAGTTAAGAGATATTAGAATCGAAAGTAAGCCAGGCCACGTTGGCTTGTTAGCAGCTGCTTGCTGCTCCTCGTTCTTCTTTCTCTCCCTCTCTCTTTCTTTCTCTCTCCTTGGGTCTCTTTCGCGAAAAATCGAACGCGATTTTATTCGAAACGATCGCCAGAGTCGAGTTAATTCACTCGGCTCTGCGTCGTTACCGTATATCTGTATACAGTTTGACAACGACATTACGTAATAAGAAGTTACTGACAAGGCAACACTTCACTTGCTAGATTCGCTTCCAGATTGCGGCTAAGTTTGTTTCGAACGAACATTCGAATCTCGATCAGAATTCATTAAAAATAACCCGCGTTGCTTTTCAACCCGGACACGAAAATTGTCGGGGATCAGTCTCCGCCGTTTTACGCTACGTGAGTAACAATATGCCAAAACGTTCTAGCGTAGTCTTCTTCTGTTCGACGTTACCATAGCCGATATTTTGAAACATTCTTCCTCGCTTCGCTAACCGACAGCTACTTCGTGCTTTCGTGCAAATTATGTTTGACCACCATCCGCGTTCTTTGCGGAGAACGTTCAAGACGTTTGTTCGTGTTTCGTAGTGAAATTGTTCGACTCGTAGAGAAGGAAGAAGTTGAAGGAAACTAAAAACCAGACGCAAGCGTTTTGCTAGATTGCTATAAGTGTTGCTAGAACTGCGACGATTCTTGCACCACCTGACACGTTTCAACCTCTCGGACGAGATTTGAAAGTAAAATCGTCGATCGGGCCTCACGCATTTTTCGTTAAAATACTGAATCGATGTTTGGAACGAATGCTCGTTCGCTCTTTTGCTCAAATTCGATCAAATTCGTGCTTGTCTTTATTGTTGCGTTAATTAATCGAATCGACAGTGTGACAAATGAGCATTATTTTATAGTATTTTACAACACTTCTAATATAATATTTTAATAATCGTTAATATATAAAATATATTACTTATGGTACGTACAATTTCGTTGTGCAGTATTGCGGTAAACGCATCGTATCATAATCGATCAATAAAAATTGAATCGACAAAGATAAAAAATTACTGACGTAGAAATGCTTGCAAAAGTGTCGCGCGATTCACAAGTTTGTCGCTGACTTTTCTTCTAACAGCGTGTTCCCCGAATGTCACGCACGAATTATGGTTTCGGTTTGAAAAAACAAAAAGAAAAAAAAAAAAAAAAAAAGAAAGAAAAGATGCACGGCGCCACGCAGTTCGAATTCGAACTCTTCATTGAAATTCACCAATTTGGAAGTTGGAAAGTACAAATCACTTTCGATGCTTTACGTCTAATATGATGTTGCAAATACAATGATAAGAAGGCAAGAGGTTAATGCAATTCCGGTTCACGCCGATTATCACGACGAACTTTCCACGCCATTAAATTCGCACGCGAATCTTCTCTTTCCATATGTTTCGTTGCGGCCAGCTCGACGATTTATCGCCGATGTCGAATGGGCTGTTCTCCTGTGTTTCTTATCGACTAGCCAAAACCTCGACGTCTTAACCTTGGCTTACTGTAGCTATGTGCCCAACATTTTACTCGCAAATCAATCGAAATTGATGTTTTTTTTTCAATCTACTTACAAATTCTAGGCCAGAATCATTTTCATTCAATTCGAATGAATTCCCACTAATTGTTTCCGTGAATCAGTTTTCCATAAAATCGAGGTGCAGCAAATATTTTCATTCCATCCGGAATATGGAAGAATCGAGTTATAAATATTTCAAAGGGGAGAGAACTGAAACGATCGGTGAAGACAGAGGTAAGAAAGAAGTGATTAATCGAGCTTTGCTTGACAAGTACAAGCAAAACTCGATTAACGATGCACGAAGAATCCGCGAAATAGCTATCGGAATGCGGCAGAGCAGTTCATTCGTTCCGCATCAGGAAGTGATTGCATTATGCTCGTTGCACGATATATAAATTTCCTCGTACCCGTGTCCTTTCGTGCGGATAAATACATATTTGCTTTTGCAGATACTCGTTGTAATATAAGCGTAACGTGTATCGTGATTCGACTAATTCGAGCGTCGATAATTATCTGGTTTGTTTCAATTAATTCAATTGATTCGAATTTATAACGGATCGAACGGATTTCGACGGAGTTGCGTAATTTATTTAATTTTCTCCCCTCCTCCCCCCCTTCCCCCTCTGTTTTTCGTTATTTGTAATATCGATTAAACGAGCGTTGCATTCATAATTTTTCGTCAGTGTTTCATTTTTATTATAAATTCGAAACTGTCGGGTAATATAACGTCATTTCATCTCTGTGATTTCGATGAAAAATTTAGTATCCTAAAATATATTAGAGACTGATATATAGAATCTAAAAATGATTTGTTTGCTGTAATAGCTCAGGGAATGTCTCTTTGCGTTGCGTGTTTTTGCATACGTTTGCATGTATTCTCCATAGTAACGAATTTTTTTTTTTAGTTCATAAAACTAATATAAAACCTAACTCCTAACATAAAACAATCTCTAAGTAAGTACCTCTGTAATTGTAAGAGAAACGGAAACGGCAAGTAAATATACGTTAAATTTATAACCTCATTGCGTTATATTTATAACCTCATTATTTATAGTATCTCGAGAATAAAAAAAGAAGAGAGAGAAAGAGATAGAAAAATCGAGGTACAACGTCACCACATTCACGCCCGTAAGCTCCCCAGAGGAAAGCAGGCTAGAGGCGCGAAACTCAATTTTCAATACATTCTCTGTCAGACAAATTTTATTGCCTTAACCACATTGCCCCGTTTTTGCTTATTTCATTACGATACAATCTATCATCGTTAAAAAAGAATAACATCGTTTCATCACTTTACATTGATGCAATTTGCGTCTCAAAGTGGGAGCAACAAAAGAAAACAAAAAAAAAAAAAAAGTTTTGTTTTATTTGCTTGTAAATGCAAAGTTTTACAAGCGACGAGAGTTATTAAACGATTGAGCATGTTGGACGATTAAGAATAATTTTGCATTAAGAAATGGAATGTAAAGTTCGCCTCACTCGCTGCATATGATTTTTCCTTGCTTTTGAATTCTTCGTAGATACATCTACGATCCTCTTGTTGATATCAATCGATTTTCTTACATAACGTATGAAATCTTATAAGTAAATTTCATAAATTACAATTTCAATCGTCCGATCGTTCTGATTTGGAATTGTACAAAATTACGAACGTTTAATCAACTTGGGGCAAATGAAATGAATTTGAAATTTCGTAATCTTAGTCATCTAATTATCACTGTTGGACTGAGAATGAAAGAAAAGATCTGTAATCTGTTTAATCGATCCATCTTGCCCATTTACCAATATTAATTATTAATCGGTGAATTATAATTCTATAAGACTCACTCGGACTTGATAACTCAATTCAGTCACATTCACTGATTTCGAAAGCTGCGATCGACGACTAATATTACTATCTCAGTAGGGCTGAAATATAAAATCAACAAAGATTTTTTTCACACCACCGAAAGCATCGGTCGTATGATTTATACGACAACGAGAGATGATAATTTTAAACGTCATTGTTTTTACTGTAGAGTTTATAAAATTTAATCCACCTCTTTGTGAAATTGGCTTATGTAAGATTTTCTTGAAATGTCGAGTGTTAATCCTATAAAAAGTGGATTTATGTAAAAGATTGATTTATGTAAGAAGATTCTTTTCTTGAGATGTCGAGTGTTAATTCTATAAAAAGTGGGGTTGATTAATTTGATTTCGGATAGGTCAGTGAGAGAAACTAAACGAACGGAATTCGTCGATCGATTGAATGAAATAAATGAAAAAAAAAAAAAAAAAAAAGGAAGGTGCACACGATGCAGTGTCGAAACGTGGCACGTTTTCGTCTAAGGGTTCGGAATTCCCTTGCTCTCGCAGTTGCATAATACTGCGGCAACCATATGTCGCGTACGTACGATCGAGAACACGCAGGTTGAAAACGCAGGGAAAACGCAAACGAATGGAACGACGACGATAGAAAGAGGGTCGCCGATGCTGCTTTATGGCTATCAAATAATTCAGGCCGGAGACTTGTGCGTTAACGACCAACGATATTAACCTTGAACGTCGAGACTCCATGAGGAACGTTCGCGTTCAGCCGTTTAGGTTCAAAGGCGAGTAACGAGCTTCTCTCGCAGTCGTCAATTGTTTTCGATTCCTATTTCCAATCGACGACGGATAAATTCGATTTTAGGAATTAGAAAATTAGGAATTTGGATTTGTTACCAAAAGATTCTCAATCAAATTCGAAGAGGTAGAAAACTTTTGGCGATCCACGTTGTCCAAGTATTCGACGTTTATACAAATTGGAAATATCGTTCATGCAAAGTGAAATCGAAGGGACTATGTATTTGAAAAAAATCATGGGATTCCAGAGCGACTTAATTTGAAGATTCGAAATTTCCTCGTCCAAAGTTTGTCTTTCCTTACGTGTGTCAAAATGCTGTACTTTCAATAGATTTGTGTTTTTATGAAAATTTGCGAAACTTTAAAATTCCCTTAAAAACAAAAAAGTTCACAGTCTATAATTACTATCCATCGACGTATTATTTCTCTCGCAGTAAAATTTCGTTTGAGGCATCTCGATCACTAGAGATCGCCAGTGTTGCAAAAGAAAAAAAAAAAACGCTCTCGATGCTCGCTACGTTCTCGCTGCGTTTCTCAAGAAGGGTCGAAGAAGCACGGGTTAAGCGAGAACCTTGAATTGATGTTGTGTGCAAGGATCGTTTAAA